CGAGCTCGTCCGTACGTGAGGAATGTCTCGGAAGCCGTCAGCCGCCTTCTCGATCCACTGGGAGTTGGGTTTTCATGCTGGCCGAAAGCAACCATAAGGCACCAAATCATGAAGCCGAAAGCCCCTCTGCCACGGCAGAAAACGTCTGGAGTCGTTCACCAGGTCTGGTGCAATTGTGGGGAAAGCAGCTATATCGGAGAAAATGGGAGATTATTTTGGACGTGGATGGCTGAGCACGCGACAGCAGTGAGAAGGAAAGACGCCAGCTCTCAGATGGTGGCTCATTCGACAGGACCTGACCATATTTTCAAGTTTCAAGAGGCCGAGGTCCTTGCGAGAGATGACAACCGCATAAGCGGCGAGCTGCTTGAATCATGGTTTTCAGGGCCGCAATCCATCAACAAGCGTAATGTCCTCCCGTTACCATGTTCGCTGCCGAGACATTCCCTGAGCAGGGGAATCAGTCACGTGTGGAGTGCGCAGGCAAGCAACAATCCCGGTGATAGCGGGCCAAAGGGCTGAGCAATCATCACGCCAACATCCAACACGCATGATTAAGTTGCGGTAATTAACGACTCAAACCCGGGCTGGCGAGCCATCCTCGCTCCAATTACGGCCTCCAGAGATGATCACAGGAGTTGTTAATTATTGTACCCATGCAGTCCCACGGCAACTACGTACCATAAATTCTGCAGCCTTTGCGCCTCCACTACCTTTATCCTCTTTGATGATGGGTTCTAGTGAGAATCCAAAACGTCAGGCCAATAAATTTCTTGTTCCACTGATCGCATCTTCTTCTTATAAAGATAAGGGCCATTGGAATAGCCATTTCTGGCTTATTAGCCGTGCTTATCCGGTCCTTCGCATCCCATGTTCTGGATGACCTGAATTCAAACCTGGGTCCTTTGGTTGTTGAGCGTTATTAGATCCAACGCTCAACCACTGCGTCACGGACCCGTTGTCCTGTATGTTGTGGGCAGGAATAACAACTGTGCTAGAGGAGTGCTCTCCGATCAGGTTACTGGACCTGCCTGTTCCGTTGTACCTGCAGTCTCAATCTAGGGGACTCGCCGACAGTCGCACATTGACTATTGATATATGTAGCGAAGGGAGTGCCGACGGTTAATATGCGAAGATGAGTTCTAGAAGCGAGCTTCATTTGCGCTGACCTTTTATAAATTTCCTAGCTCCCATTATTAGAATGCTGCGTTGTCTGCTTCTGCCGACCTAGCTTCCTCTTCCATACACCAGTGACCAGTCCAAGTCAAGCCTACTGAAAATGACCTTGGCGCAGCGATTGTCAATGACCAACAGACCGTCTAACCACGCTACACCTCGTCTAATAATTAAACTCACAAGTGCCGTCCCATGCGTCGTCTCACTCGTCATGCTGACGCCAGCTAGTTAAATTGCATGCCTGCTACAGAAGTGAGGTCTGATGTTTTGTTGGTAACTATCGTGTATGCGGTCGAGCACGAAAATATGGGCCCCATATAGCAGGCAGTCTTGCCCTGAATTCCGGGAGAGAATAGGACTTGGTTTCGGATTAGTCTTGGAGACGGCGATAAGGTTAGGTTTCGGATTCCTGCCCGAACCCATCATCAGAGACAAAAGCAGATACGCGTGGTTCATTCACAAGGGGCTGCAGTATTTCTTGGATGCAGTCGCCATGCTACTGCATACCTACGAACATTCACGGCTCCCTCCTTCATCAGGGATCGTCGCACTTGGCGTGCTAATTGTTTGATGGCCGAAATTTGCGTCGTCAATTGAGGCAATTTCATCACATGCGTTGGGTGTTGGTGTGATGATTGCTCGACCATCTGATCCGTCAACCCTGGCGTTGGGAAAAGTGTTCATTTGTGCGCTCCCCGAGTGGCTAATTACTCCGCCTAGGCGAAGTCTCAGCACTGAGCATTGAAGGGGAAGGTCATTGCACTTGTTAATGGACTAGGAACCAGTAAACCATGATTCAAATAGCTCCCGACTCACTCGGTTGTCACCTCTTGCGGAAATTTTGCCCTCGTCGAATTTGAATGTGCAGCCGGATCTCGTCGAATGAACCGCAACTTGAGAGCTGGCGTCATTTCTCCCCACCGCTGCAGCGTGCTCGGCCATTCTCGTTCGGAGCTGTCTTCCGGCTTCTTCGACGTAGTTGCTTTGTCCGCAACTGCACCAGATCCGATAAACGACTCCAGACGTTTCTTGCCGTAGCAGCGGGTCTTTCGGTTTCATTACCTGATGACGCCTGATGGTTGCCTCCGGTCTGTGTGCAACTACAACCTCAAGTGGTGCGAGAAGGCGGCCGACAGCTTCCGAAACGTTCTTGACATATGTTCTTGACCCTTAAAGTGCTCCTTAAACGGGCCGCGCACTAAATAGTCTCGTTTAACCTGAGGGCTAGGTCGGAATCTGACAGGCGTCTTGGGAATGCGCACCCACAACATCCGGGTTGCGTTGACCGGCTCACATCGCGTCAACTGGAAAACCTGCTGTTGTTGTTGCTGTCAGTAAGCTCCTGGCCAAGTGTTTGTTCTGAACCAGGGAGCGTGGTGGTGCACCTAGTTGCGGGTCCGGTCGTGCCAGCCAGCTGGGCCCTCCTTCAACTCCGGTCTTCTTGACTCTATCTTGGCACTGGGCCCAGGTGGGTAGGAGGAGATGAGGTGGATACTGTGCAAGTCTGCTCTCACTATAAAAAGCACCCAAATGTCACCGTGAATGTTCTCACCCTGCTGTGGAGCACATGGTAGACATTATCGGTCACGACGGTCGAGATATCGTATGACCCTTATAATCGACTGCGCTGCGGATGGGCTGGACGAGATAGTGAAAGGCCCGTTCGTAAAACAACGTGTATCTGCGTTTATTAGTGTTTGTAAAGTTTACAAGATGGCTCAAATCCACTGTCAAGTCTTCTGAGCCCCATGTCGCCCCCTTTCAAAAATGCATAGAAATTGATGATTCCACGTACACGAAAAAATACAGCTTGTAGTTTCGAAGCCCTGAATGAAAGTGCAATGTCAGGTCGGGTTCAAAATTATTTTGGGATTGGAGAAGTATTTAAACCTGAATTATCACCTTTCGTCAAGCATAACATTTAAAGAAGATGTAATTTTACACCAATGATAAAAGAACAATTATTTTATGCATGCTTTTTATGAAATATATTTGAATTTATAGGAGCATCAAAAATCCATAAGAAAATGTCATATTAACTCAGTAGTCATTTTATGGAGTGTAGTCTTTGCAGGTGGCCGGAAAGAAGTCCGTTCAATGGCCGGCATCCTGAAATAACCGAAATAAATTAAGAACAAGCTGCATTGCAATCAATATTGTAATCCCACTTAGATAATCTTTTCGAGTCGAAAGCGCATTTCAGAATTTCGGCTAACATTTCGTGAGTAGCACATGACCGATCTCATTAAAGTTTGACCGAAAGTGCAAAATTCTTAATTGATTAGGTTAATTAAGTTATGATACTGATTAGCTTGCGACATGATGCTGTTAAGTTTCAGACTCTTCGGGATGTTGGCTTTTGAATGCTTCTTTCTGGCCGCCTACAATGACTGCGTTTGGAAAAAAAATGTCCACTTAATTAGTAGGTATTTTTTCTGTTGATTTCCAACGTCCCTATGAATTCCAACATAATTCGTTAAAAAAACGCACAAAAATATTTATTTTTGTACTCACTGGGTAGAAGATCAAGTCTTTTAACATTTTTATGTAAAAGGTGATGCCTCCCGGTTCTAAAAACGTTTTTACTTATGAAACATTCAAGACTGTTCAAGGTCCACTCAAGTATCCTCACATCTGTCATTTTTTATAATTCTCCTCATGACCCATACAGAATAGTCAACATCCATCGCAAGGTTTTACGAGCCCTATATGGCGGGAATATGCGGCTAGTAGACAAAAACCCTAAACGTAGATGTAGAAGCAGACCTAAGTCAAAATCATACTAAAATCGAAAAAAATTAAGGCTGAAAGATGCTCTTTTTTCGGACATAGATGTCAAATTAATGCAAAAAGGAATACTTTCGTGCACGCTTTGGCGAAATATTTTTACATTTTTAAGGGCTTAGAAAATCGACCTGGAACGTGCACACTACCTCAGTAGCTATTTTTTTACTGAGTCCTGCTTATTTTGACGTCTAAAAATAAGTGCTTCTAAAAGGAAACATCCTTTCGTGCCGTAAATATTACGGCATCATGCTATAATATAACTAGACTTTCAACCACACTTAAGTAATCCTTTCTAGTCGAATGCACATTTCTCGTTTTCGGTCATTATTGCAGAAGATCGGCTAATGGCTTGATTAGCATTCTCGTACTGGCCTATACGCAAACAGCTCTCATAGAAATCGAAGATTTTAAACGAATGACTGACGTTCGCTGAGGTGTTTTTTTCAAAAAAATGGCCCATGATGTTACTGCACAGACACGTGTCTGTGCTTTCCATATTTTTCTGAGGTAACGATGCTGTCTGGCTGTTTAGTCTATTTTCTTCATTTTTTCATGATTTTCAACCGTATTATCCAGTCATAAGTGCACTACGGCGTGTACACGTCGTCTGATTTTTTTTAAACTTACATAGTACCGTTACTTTGAAGAACTGTGGACAGACTGAAAATAAACTGGCTAACGATGTGTCTCCTTTTCGTGCGTAGAAGCTAAACCGGCAGAAGATAGGTCAATCCTGTCGTGGCTATTTTCATAATTTTCATTGTTACATCAAAACTGAAGATTTTCGGTTCCCTGCTTTTTAAAGAACGAAATTACATCGATTTGAAAATAAGGATTTTCATGACTGAAAGTCCTTGTGTTTTTTTAAAAAATACTACGCTCACTCACATCTTACTTCATCGTAATTTATGTGCAATAAAAAACTTTTCAAGTTCATAAACGTTTTTTCGTAAACCTGTGTTAGTTGGACTGAGGCCCACTTTGAGCCACATTTTCGCAACACACGCCTCGTGCAATGTTTTAATCTGCCAACCACACTAAATATTGTCCAGTATATCGCCACTGGGCATCTGTTTTCCATCACCCAATTTCATCACATTCTCCGCCTCCTGTTGACGCTGAGGATTCCTGGTAATCAGAAATGCGTCTTTGTGTACTTTGGTTTGGACGTCTTTTAACATGGTAGCTTATATCTAACGCTTTTTTATTGGAGTCGGAGGTCCCCCCTCAAGGGATTTATCTACGGTTGTGCAATTTACGGGTTATCTTCACTGTCTCATTAAGATTCCAGTTTGCCCTGCATTTTCAATCATTTCTGCAAACAGAATCCTCAAGAACTCAATCAGCTTAAGCAGGAACAGAGGAATAATTACCCTGTGGCTGCATTGTGGATTGCAAAAATCCAGTCTTTTTGTCAGAATGGACATTAGGACCTGTCAGAGATTTTACAGTTGGCATACAGGCCAGGTGGACTATCGTACATGGTCGGATTTGACTTTCGGGTAATTTAGCGAGAGTAAGACCATGCGGCTGTTCTGACTGTATGCACCGAATAATATTCACATATATTCTGAATGGAAGAAAATAAGCGATCTCCAAGAAAATGAAAAAGAAGAAGAAGGTATGGGAGACTGTCTCTGGGACCGTTTGATTATTCTTCTGACGTTTCGAACTCTCATGCGAGTCCATCTTCAAGGACTAGAGAAAGGTATAGCTGAGCGAACATTTAAGCCACACCTGGCAGGAATGACCATTGTCCGTATTAATAATTCGTTAACGCAGCACCTGGCAAGCCGTATATTTATTGATCGAGTCCTCCGTCGAGGTCCACGCTTCCTGCAATAGTAGTAGTAGTTGTTGTTGTTGTTGTTGTAGACGCTCTCACTGTCGACGTTGTGTACTGGTGAGCGCTAGAGGGTAGCTATCGAGGCAAGTTTACTTTTCTGTCTCGCGCCAAGCTCGTGTTTGTGCAAACCTGTTTATCAGCTTCTCCCGAAAAACACTGAAATAAGATTAACCCCCTCCCCCGCTAGCACATGTGGTCTAAAGCAAAATTCCAGGGAAGGTACATGTTCCCCTTGTCCTAACCCTAACGCTTACCCCAACCTAAGCTTTAACCCTAACCTTAAACTTAACACTAACCCTGATCACCCGGAAAGTTGCGCAAGGTCCTCAGAATGGTGTGGGTTCCTATCCCCGTGACTTGTAATTCCACCGAAAACTGCCCCATCTGCTTTCTATCTAGTTAACGACATCGGGTTTCTGACTAATGGCTGTTGAGTCCTGCCACCATTACGCTGAAAACTTTTGTTATATAAAATTTATGCAGTGAACCAAAAAGGAAATTACGCAGCGTCTTTAAGTGCTCTTCTCTCAGTGGATGCTGAAGCTGACTAAAGTGCCTGGGGAAGTCTGTTGCATGACCGATGCAGATGGTCTGGCTGGAGCATAAACATGGCACAGCATGTAGACGAACGTGGTAATAATGGTAGATGGGCGCACACCAATCGTTTTTACGGAACTCATTCGTTCCGTTGTGCCTTACGGGATCTCCCTCAAGCCCAAAAAGCAGCCGCACAACGGCGTACTATGTAGCAGAATGTCATTACCGACAAAGGCAAGGGAAAGTGGAATGGCCATTTCTGGTTTGTTAGCCATCGTCAGCCAATCATACCCAACCCAGAATTGCGGAACACATGGGGCTCGAACGCACGACCTGTTAGTTAGAAGTCCAACGCCTCTAACCACCGAGTCACGTGCTCGTTGTCCTGCCGTCTCGATCGGAAACGCACAGTGCTAGAGGGGTGCACGCCAATCGTATACTCACATCTTACTTCATCCTAATTTACGCGCACTGAAAGACTTTTCAAGCTCATAAGTGTTTTTTCTTAAACCTGTGTTGGTTGGATTGAGGTCCTTTTTGAGCCACATTTGCACAACACACGCCTCGTGCAATGTTTTAATTTGCCAACCACACTAAAGATTGTCTATTATATCGCCACTGGGCATTTGTTTTTCCATCACTAAATTTCAGCACTTTCTCCGCTTCCTGTCGACGCTAAGGATTCCTGTTAATCAGAAATTCGTCTTTCTTTAGTTTGGTTTCGACATCTTTTAACATGACAGTTTACATCCTACACTTCTCCCTTGTAGTCGGAGGTCCTCCTCAAGGGATTTATCTACGGTTGTGCAATTTACGGGCTATCTTCACTGTCTCATTAAGATTCCAGTTTGCCCTGCATTTTCATTCATTTCCGCAAACAGAACCCTCAAGAACCCACTCAGCTAAAGCGGGAGCAGAGGAATAATTGCCTTGTGGCTGCATTGTGGATTGCAAAAATCCTGTCTTTTGCCAGAATGGACATTAGGACCTGTCAGAAATTTTACAGTTGGCAAATAGGTTAGGTGGACTATCGTACATGGTCGGATTCGACTTTCGGGTAATTTGGTGAGAGTAAGACCATGCGGCTATTCTGGCTGTATGCACCGAATAATATTCACACATATTCGGAATGGTGGAAAATACGCGATCTCCAAGCAAATGAACCAGAAGAAGAAGACATGGGGGGCTGTCTCTGGGGCCGTTTGATCACTTTTCTGACGTGTTGAACTCTCGCGCAAGTCCATTTTCGAGGAATAGAGAAAGGTATGGCTGAGCGAACATTTAAGCCACACCTGGCAAGAATGACCATTGTCCGTATTAATAATTCGTTAACGCAGCACCTGGCAAGCCGTATATTTTTTGATCGAGTCCTCCGTCGAGGTCCACGTTTCCTGCAGTAGTAGTAGTAGTAGTAGTAGTAGTAGTAATAGTAGTGGTAGTGGTAGTGGTAGTAGTAGTAGTAGTAGTAGTAGTAGTAGTAGTAGTAGTAGTAGTAGTAGTAGTAGTAGTAGTAGTAGTAGTAGTAGTAGTAGTAAAAGTAGTAGTAGTAGTAGTAGTAGTAGTAGACGCTCTCGCTGTCGACTTTGTGTTCTGGTGAGGACTAGAGGGGAGCTATCGAGGCAAGTTTACTTTTCTGTCTCGAGGCAAGCTCGTGTTTGTGGAAACCTGTTTATCAGCTTTCCCCGAAAAACATTGGAATAAGATTAAGTCCCTCCCCCGCCAGCGCATGTGGTCTAAAGCAAAATTTCAGGGAAGGTACATGTTCGCCGTGTCCTAACCCTAACCCTTACCCCAACCCGAGCTTCAGTCCTAATCCTAAATTTAACACTAGCCCTGATGTCCCGGAAAGTTGCGCAAGGTCCTCAGAATGGTGTGGGTTCCTATCCCCGTGACTTGTAATTCCACCGAAAACTGCCCCAACTGCTTTCTGTCTAGATAACGACATCGGGTTTCTGACTAACGGCTGTTAAGTCCTGCCACCATTACGCTGAAAACTTTTGTTATATAAAATTTATGCAGTGAACCAAAAAGGAAATTACGCAGCGTCTTTAAGTGCGCTTCTCTCAGTGGATGCTGAAGCTGACAAAAGTGCCCGGGGAAGTCTGTTGCATGACCGATGCAGATGATCTGGCTGGAGCATAAACATGGCACAGCATGTAGACGAACGTGGTAATAATGGTAGAGGGGCGCTCACCAATCGTTTTTACGGAACTCATTCGTTCCGTTGTGCCTTACGGGATCTCCCTCAAGCCCAATAAGCAGCCGCACAACGGCGTACTATGTAGCGGAATGTCATTACCGACAAAGGCAAGGGAAAGTGGAATGGTCATTTCTGGTTTGTTAGCCGTCGTCAGCCAATCATACCCAACCCAGAATTGCGGAATACATGGGGCTCGAAATCACGACCTGTTAGTTAGAAGTCCAACGCCTCTAACCACTGAGCCACGGGCTCGTGGTCCTGCCGGTCTCGATCGGGAACGCACAGTGGTAGAGGGGTGCACGCCAATCGTTTTTACGGAACTCACTCGTCCCGTACCTCAATCTAAGGATTATTTTAAGCATCAGCAATTGTTTATTTTAAAAAGGAGGTCCAGGCCCGTTTACCTCTTCCTCAGCCGTCATCATCAGCCAGTCTTTCTTCTCGACCCGAGGTCTCAAAGACCTCAGTGCTGTACCCGGCTCAGCTTTGTCACCAAACATTTGAATCTAAGCAGTTAAAAGGCCAGTAGGAAGGGACCCTGCAGTACGCCTCCCATGTGGACATGCACACGCAAACTTCAGCTCATTAATTATTTAATGCGACGCAGTTTGTCAGAAAGGGGTACGTGCTGGCGAGTGGGAGGATGCCCTGCAAGATGCGCGACAAACCAACAGACATGAGAGTAGAGGCGGTAAAGGCGCTGTAAAAGCACCTGGATGTTTGAACTGCGTTTTCGCCTTCTTTTAAGTACTTCTGACGCCGGGCGTCCTTTGAGGTTGTGTGCGGATGCAGAAACGCTGGCCAGTAAATCCGCTCATTTCACGCGAGTCAGTGTAGCTATGAGCATTGTTCAGAGTGTAACAATATGCTCCGTAGGGACTGCACGGTTTCAGGTCACTTATGTCGAAAGGGACATACGGAATGGACAGGCTAGTCATGGGGGCAGGACACCGTGATGTAGGTAAAATTGGAGTTTTTGCGTGTGCATAGGGTTAAACTAAGCAAAGATGGTAATGAGTTTTGACGAGTAAACCTGTGGCATAAGAGGAACTTTTCCAATGCAGTCTTTACTGGCGGGGAGTGGGATTAACGAAGTAATTAGCTATCACATGGAATATTAACCGAAATTCTAAAAAGCGTTTTTACTCGAAAAGATAACTTAGGTATGGTTGTAAAATCAACTACCGTGCAGTCTAATCCCAAGATTATTCAGTCCGCAGGATGCCGGCTTTTGAGAAAGCCTCTTCCTGTCTGTTCCTAAAGCCTGAACTCTGAAAAGTTGTTTATGTAGGAAGGATTTTCCTCATTGATTTTGGATCCTTTTAAAGTTTTATACACTGTTTGTTGAAAGCATGAACAGAAAGATTCGCTCTCTTACTCCTTTGTTAAAAAAATACATCTTTATCAAATTGTATAGCTGAAGAAAGGGCATTTTCTAGTTTTAAGAAAGGTTTTGATTCTGAGATTTTCTAAGACCATGAAATATCCATCCATTAACATCTTATAACTACCCTCATGAATCTTGCTCGTAAGGCATGAAGTTTGATTTAAGTCTACTGCCGGATATCATGAATTCCATACGGTATCTTATTGATTGCGTATAGAACTGTTCGATTTTCCTTAAACGGAAAATGTACACCTTGTAATTTGGAAACCTCGAATGCAAATATAGAGGTGGGTCGAGTTCAAAATTATTCAAGAACCAGAAGTTTTTCTGGAACAGAATCATGTTTTTCTCTTAAGTATAAAATTGAAAAAAGTATAAATTTTGTCGAATGAGTAAAATAACAAACTGCAAACTTAGGGTAAAGCAAGAGGTCAGTGCGTTTTGACAAGTGAACCTGCTCATAAAAGAAGTATTTCAATACGGTCTTTGTGAGCGGGAACTATCGAGTGGGATTAACAAATCAATCAGCGCGTACAGTGGATATGCCATCCCATGAAATACTAACCAAAATTCTGAAATGCGTCTTTGATTTACAAAGATGGCTGAAGTAGTGTTGTAACATTAATGGCTGTGCAGAACAATCTCAAAAAATTTCAGTCACAGCAGGATGTCGGCTTTTGGATAAACTTTTTTCTGGCCGTTCGCGAATGCTGCAGTTTCACAAAATGGCTACTTAATTGATATGGGTTTGTTCGCATTCATTTTCGATGTTTTTATAGATGCAAAGGTGGTTTATGGAAAAAACACAAAAGCATTTGTCATTCCACACATTCGGAAGTAAGCTGTATATTCGAAGGAGTATCTTTCTGTTTTAACAATTGTCAAATTGCAAGTGTTTCTAGGAACGCAAAACGCTCACCCATAAAACACCATGTCATTGCATCTGTTAATTTTCCTGTAAACTATACAATACATTTAAAATCTCCTACCAGATTTCATGAAGCCCACATGGTATCTTCCTAATAACGCGTAGAAATGTGTGGTTTTCTTTACACGCGGGATGTACATCTTGTAGTATAGAAACCCTGAATGCAAATATAGCGGTAAGTTGGGTTAAAAACTATTCAGGACTTGAAAACGTTTTATAACAGAATTGTATTCTAGGCCCAAGTACGAAATTGAAGAAGACATACGTCTTTACCAAAGAGGTAAAAAATGAATGCCTAGCGCATCGAAAATCAATGAAAAGTATCCATAGTACTCAGCCATTTTTTGCAGAGTTCAGCTTCTCCATATGGCCGAAAATAATCTCCATCAAAAGTTGGCATTCTGGTGGCCAAAGTATTTTGGAATTATTCTACACGGTGTTTAATGTCACGACCCGACGTAATTCGATTGCCGACAAAGACCAGGAAGACTGGAAAGACCATTTCTAGCTTAGTGACCATCATCAGCCAGTCATACCCAACCCCGAAGTGTAGAACACCTGGAGTTCGAACTCGCGACCTATTAATTAGACGTCCAACGCCTCTAGCTTCTGAGCCACGGGCTCGTTGTTCTGTCGGTTTTAATCGGGAATATATAATAGTAGGGGAGGGGCGCTCACCGGTCGTTCTACGGAACTCACTCGTTCCGTCGTGCCAGTCTTCCTTGTCTTTGTCGGCAATAACATTCTGCATATATCATGCTCCGTTGTGCGGCTGCTAGTTGGACTCAAGAGACAGAGCCCGAAAGGCCCAGTGGAACGTGTGAGTTCTGTAAGGACCACCAGTGAGTGCCTCTCCACCAACCCTACTTAAAATATCCCTTCCAATCGAAAACGCACTTCAGAATTTCGGCTAACATTCCATTAATCGCCTCCTATACGGTATGGTGTTTTCTTTTGGAAAAACATCACTCTGCACACACTCTACTCGATGAACGCCATCGTTTAACCGATGCGCCCCTTTTCGCTACACCTCGATGTCCAGGCGAACTAAATCGCAGTGTGTAAAAAGGTCGTTTGAAAATTTTCGTTTGCATTGTGTCTAGTGCTAAAAGCACAGCACCTGCGGTTTTGGTTTTAAAGATTGAGACCTAGTGGAATGCCCTACGAATATGTAGAGTCTCTTCCTAGGGACATACCGGTCTGTGAAAGCAAATTTTTCGTCTTTATAGCACGTTAAAACATCACTTCTTCCGAACGAAACTCTGATGCTAGCGCCCAAGCGGCTCCCGAATGAAACGTAGCGCATCTGCGCCTTATAAATTTCTTTTCACGAAAAAATCGAAGCCTCTTCCCATTTACTGCTTGTCAGGACACTGTTGTACCCTCTAGTTCTGCTTACTTGCAGATTGTCGGTACTCTTTCTGTGCTCCCACAACGGACCGCGCTGTAGAGGCGGACGACCACAACGGGGTCAGGCTGGGCCTCGGCAGACGTTAAACTGGCTGGACATATTCTGCGGATCGAATAACAACTGCAAGATCTGGGGTGGTTGTGGTGGGACACTGAGCGCAGGCCTACGCCGCGCTGGGCAGCTCGGCATCAAATGGCTAACCGGCTGGGACAGCGGATTGGCTCATGGAAGAGGGAAGAGAGAACGGGGGCGGGTCGGAACTGCGGAATACATTCCCACCACTCTTAAGCGTACAGTAGATGACCTAACTCATGAAATGTCGAGATCGGTATTTGAGGTGAGGGGACGGCATATATTTTGTGTGGTTTTTCTTCTTTTTAGAACTGATTGGAATCCCAAAAAGGCCTTTTTCTAAATAAGAGGTCCTGTTAGTTGCGTTTTACTGAGGCCAAACGTATCAAAATTTGACGTCTCCGGATATCCGCTTAATTTCCTATTCTAATAAGTATGCCCTATAAGAACCTGCTATCTGCACATGCTGCGTCGTAAAGGCACGTTCATATAACAAAGAAAAATATCAAAGAAGGCCACTCTGAAAATTGAAATTGTGATTTTTAAGTCATGAAAGTTAGATCAAACCAAGTATGTAAAAACAAATTATTCTAGTAAATCAAGAAGTAATTTGCTCTTTACAACTTCTATTTATCAACACTGCAACGTTTTACATCGTTAAACGCGGTAATAAGCTTGTTGGACAGTGTTTGTTTAACTACACCGAGAACTAGTAGGCGTAGACACGTATATATAGATTGCGAGCTACATGCTGCCACTTTTCTTTGCCACGCCGTAAAGCAAAGATGTCAAACCAGTTCCTGTCAGAAAATGACTTTGAGCGGATACGAAAATTGGCAGCCGAAGGGCTGCCGCGTGAGTTTTCAGCTAGTATTTTTAACATAAGCCAGGTCACTCTCTAGAGAATTATTAATAATGAAACAATGCCTAGAACTAAGCAAGGTGGGACAAAACGGTTCACAAGCAAGCAAAACGACAATTTCATTCGTTGGACACTGAAAGAGTATTATTATATGCCCCTGAAGGCTACTTAAAGGCAACAACTATCCATGTTTTCTTTGCGTATAATTACAAAAAGAATGAAAGAGTTCGGTCTCCGTCAGCAAAACGCCCCGAGAAAGCCGTTTTTAAATAGAAAACTTATTAGATAACGTTTTTCGCTCAAAAATATATCGATCACGGACTTTCCTTTTGAAAAAGCCTTTACTTTTGTGATGAGGTCTTATTTTTGGACAAGCCTCTGATGTCGGCTCAGGTGGTCATATGTGGGTTAAATGTTCCACAAGAGCAAACTATATCGACACCTACATTCAAGAACTGATGGTTCGGATGGTCATCAAATTCGGTGAGCGACCAGTCGGGCGTTTAACAGCGAAGACGATAAATAGCAAGGTGTTCATAGACATCGTAAAGGGTGCCTTCGGTTACAACGGCGTTTATCGACGTCGAATGGGCACCGTAATGTTTCAGGATAATGCACCGTCCAGCGCTCAAAGAAGGTATGATTTCATATCAGCTTACAACTATAATCTAATATTTTAGACCACAGCCGGCCTCTCCGCCTGCGGCCTTCAAATCACTTTTATTCCCGCCAACAGCCCGGACCTAAATCCCATCGAAAATGTTTTTGCACTAATCAAAATAAATTTGGACAAGGCAAGAAAACATCTTTCTATGGAACAAAAATTTGAATTTTGCCTAA